TTTCGTGCAGTATGTCAGTCTGTGTAAGTTCATTCAGCTTTGGGGAACCGACCAGTTTACATCGTTAATTTTTTTAATTTCTTTTTCAAAAATAGAAAGTAGATATTTATGAATAAAATATGTTTCATTCAAAGGTAGAGTGTGAACAGATATGTATTTGTAAATTTGTAAAATGACGTCAAAGTGTTTTCTTTAAAGAAGTACATAAACATTATTGTGTGATATAAAATATGAAATATTGTATGAATTGCTGTACCATTGGTTACCCAAGTGCTTCGGTTACAAATTAAAATTTAAAATTGAAAGTAAGACTGGGTTGTGTTTTTATTTGTTAATGTGACTTTGTATTTTTTGTTATAATTGTTATTTGTGCCGTGTGGCGGCCGTAAAAAGTATCCCCGTACATTTAATCAAAGATGTTATATTTTTGATCCTTGAAGATTGTTCAGCACGACATAATTGTTGTGTATACATGTTATGTGGTATTTTAAGTTTCTTCTATTTGGCCATTTTCAATTGGGTGGTTCCAGTATTCCTACTTGAATACTGTCTAATCATCCTAAGGATCTGTTGCCTGCTTTTTAAATTGTCTCATGACGTCTTATCTGTGATATGCAGGCTTCATCACCACATATGCCCTTTCAAAATTCCATTCAATTTAGTTCCGCCCATTATTTTCTCGTTAAGGGCACACACATTTTTTTACTAGGGGACCATATGCCGCTTTCGTGGAATGGCATTTACGTGTCAAATTGAAGGCTCCATGATAACCGTAAGATGAACACATCTGCGGATGTTTCAAAATTCCAAATTGCAACACTTCGTGTTAAGTGTTGAATTCTGCTTAAGCCGGTGCTAGGGTGCGTGGCTGGTAACTTGCACTTTCAAGTATCGTCCATGAACAGACTCAATCAAACCGAGTCAGAAACATTTTCAATTTTGCCGTGTTGGGCTATCTTTAGGGATTCTGTTATCTCCATTTTGTAGATTGTGGGAACGACAGTTTCTTGCACGTCATTTAGGCACAAAGCATTTTGAGTAAAACTATCAAAGAATGTTATAACATTCCAAAATACATAAGCATATCAAGCACAATGTATTTTCTATTTTATTTTCTGAATGATGCTTTAGCGGTATTATCGTGATGTCTCAGTCAAGAGAACATATCATGGGCCATCTGTTTTGGATCCATCCTCCCCTTCTGTCTCGTTTTCGTCAATCAAAAACTTCAGTTGCTTAGGGATACCGTCTATACGGAAACCAAACATATGTACTGTTCGCAATGTTAGAAAATACAGCGGTCCCATTTGTCTTGCGTGATGTGGCAAACTCACGTTTTGGCAAAAATCAAATGTAAAATGAAAGTATTCATCTTCCTCAACATGTGTTGTACGTTTCCCTCTCCTTAAATGTAAAAAGTTAGCAATTTCACAACGAAAGGTTTATCAAACATTCCTGTTTAATGGAATAGTATCAAATTTCATAGATTTTAAACGTTATATTTCATTAACATAATTAAAAATCAAGAAAAAGGAGATAAACATTAAATATTAATCTTGTATATCAATTTTGACACATTCACATATATTTCTTAATATATTATAAACTATTACATACCCTTTGAGCTAAAAGAATGTGTTGTCGCATATTAGCTAAGGCCTCCAGCTTGTCTTCCTCTAAAACTGCATCTGATATCATCTTTCTCATTCGCTCGTAGCGTAGACGTCATCTCTTTGTGTCGCTATTCTGATGTGAGGCGTACACGTAAACCAGAGAGTTTTGAACATAGAAAGCGAGACGTGCTTGATTTGTGGAAAGGCTTCAGTACAAGAAATACAGTAATCCGTGAGCATCTGGACCTTTGTTGTTTCGGACGGTAAATAAATTGGTGGAATATCATCTCTTCCTCTAGGTGCGGGAGGCTGGTGTATTCCTCTTTCATCAGCAACGTTACTTATAAAATATGTAACGTCGTCAAAGGTTATAGCATTATGTGGTTTTCTGTATACATGGAACAATATCTTCCTGAAAAACTTGTTTACTTAAGCTACTTAGTGTTTTCTTCCCTTTGCCATGACAAAGTACAAATGTATTTTTACATACTTCAGTACCATAAACCGTATACTTTCTTCTCATTGATTGACATTATTTACCACGTTGTGTTTTTTCTGTAGATCTTTCATCTTTTATCAGACCCATAATGTAAATTTCCTTTGTTTTTTCTCATTTTTTCATATTTAGTAGGTACTGATATAATTTGTCTTAAGTGAACTTTCCGCTGCATGCTAACCTACAACATTTAATTGATTTATAAAGTTCAACCTGCTGCCGGTCAGAATCAGGTTCAACATTATCATCATAGACGTCATCTTCATTGGACCATTCAAGCTCTTCATCCCTTTCAATGTTTTCCGAACAACCATTTGCACCAGTACTTGCACCTCTATCTTGGTACAGGAAGTCTCACACACGGCTCTCCACTATACTATTTTCCCTGATGTTTTGGTCAGAACCGCTTATTGCTAACTTCTTCCTGGGTATTGCAGGGTGTAGTTAACGGTGTTCTGCCAAATTGCTCTGATAAAAAGCTCTATAGTTCCTGAAAATCAAATACAAATAATATATTAATCATACCTCTTTATGCAATATCTAATGAGTAATGAATAGAAAACTAAAATGCAAAATCTTGACATTTGACAATTTACTTTTAAACTCACTGCTATTTGTTTAATCAGCATATGATTAAAAAAATGACTAAAAAAATGATAAGCAGGTGATGAACCTCAACCGCCCGTACGAAAAGCCAAAAAATGTTATATGACACCTTACTTATTTTCAGTTTCTATTTAATTTTATGTTATATACCCTATATAGCATTAAATTGCAATCAAGCAAGATGTTTAAACTGGGATATGAAAATTGTCTCGCCAAATTTTAATAAAGAATTTAAATGCTTACAAAAAAGAAAATTTGTTTCCACACCGTTAATAGAAAGTCAACTTTTTATACGTTTATAGCTCTAGCTGTCATATGAAAATTTCATTTTTGTGAGATATATAGGGCATCTACAAAATGCATGTTTAAGATATCAATATGATATAAGGAATTGTATATTTTAGATATACAGAGGAAATAAGGATCTATATTTTTCAGAAATTGACGTAGATGACATGTTTATCTAAAGCTCTTCATGGCGCAAATATGGAACGATTATGAAATATATGATAAATACCCGGACAGTATTCTTTATATTTAAAGGGTACGGAAAGTCACCATACATGAACATAAATGACACGTATACTTATTATACATTGCACATGAGGACTGTTTTCGGACAATTTTAATCATTTGAGTTTTTGTAATAAAGCTTACAAGCAAATCAACTCATTTTTAAATGTACAGTTAACTTCTTCTAAATTATGAATATATTGTCAATTTGTATTAAAGTATTTAACCAAAATATATCTATGCTACATTTGAAATAATTTATTTAATTAAATTTAGACCTGGCACTAGAAAACTTTGAAGTCCATATACTGAATATAGTGTTTAGAATCTCATAATCCAACCATATGATAATTTATCTATTTTGTAGATCCTAATTCGATTAAATAATACGTCATGTATCCTTTTTCATCAAATGCAACAATTCGCACAGCATAAGATCATGTCACAGGTTTTTTGCATTAAAGACAAAAGAAAGCAAAAAGCATAAAACTCACAACTAAAATTCAAGACAATGAACGTGTCATAAGAAAACCTTCTTGGTGTTTAATTTAAAGATCGTATCGACGGAAACAATAAACGGTTCATCCAAATGTAACGTAAACAAGTTAAATAGCGTTTGTCATTTTTTTAACAATTTGTTTTATATCCTGATAGACTAGTGATCAACATTAATATTCATTTTTTGAAAGTCCTTACACAAGTCAGTTAATTCATTGATAAACTCAAATTTTTTATGTCAGTGAATGAGGAGCGTTTCTAACGTTTTGCAAGCACTGTTGTCACCATTTATTATAATATAAGAGTATTAACATTTACGTGTGATGCTGGCGCCAACTAGCGTCTTTTTGTATCATCTTAGTGAGTATAACTCTCACAAGTGCAAATAATGCCCTAATTTTTCATTTAGAATTTGAATTTTACTAAACGTTAGTTTCTTCTATAATTAACAAAAACAATACTATCACTCCGACAAATGGAAAATCTCGACAACTTGGAGGACAGAACGCTATTCCATATTGCCGTACCCATCGATATTGTGAACTTAACATGCCCAATTGGCACGATAAAGACCTCGCGCTAATGCACAACCAGGTTTAGAATGACCACCCTCGCAAAATATGTGCGTACATATTTCACAAATATTCAGGTGCTTTTTGTGCAATAGGTGTCAGAAAACAGTTGTAGTTGCACATTGAAATAATTGCATATGTGAATGTTCATGGTAAAGCGATACTTACCACGCTTTATGACGCGTAGAATGTCCATTACGTGGTGAAACTTAGCATGGTATGTTGCTTGGGAACAGAACCTATGTTTCGAATATAATTAATAGATCAACCAACAATTCTGCCAACTTTCTTTCGTCGCACTTGCATTGAATTGTTGTTGGCAAGCTTTGGTATTTTATAATATTTTAAAAAAATCCAACGTCGGTCGAGTTTGAAAGAGATCATGTCATTGACTTTTTATGTAACTGGCTATATCTTTATTTCTATATCCCCGTCCCATTTCAGAAACTGGTACAGATATTGGCCCAGTTGTTCAAAACTTTTGTTAAATATTTAACAATGAAATCATTGTTAAATTAACCAAAAATTGTTATATTCTACATAAATGTTTGTTAAGCAATCCTATTGTCCCAACATTGTTAACGTTAAAGTTGTGTTGAATGAACAAAATTTTGATATTTTTTTGTTAAATATCTCTGTTAATATGTTGTTCAGAATGTTGCATTTAGCATTTTAAGTTACTTAGTTATACATTTTATATAATACAAAAGAATGACAACAAAGATTTAAGTATAAGTGCATGTGTTTATTTCATAATGTGAACTGTAAAATATGACATTGATTTATATATATTATATTACAATATACATGCAAACTGGACTGGGTGGAAATAGTATGTCAAAAATGATAAATGAGAGTTCTACATGTAACTCTAACCGCGTGCATGTATATGCATTATAAGTTGCCATTATTACAAGCTGTCATTATAAATAGTGGTCTCAACGCCCAGTCTAGGGAGTTCGAATTTGGTATTTGTCCAGAGCAGATATACACTTATGTATTTAGTAATAAAACGTGAAACATCAGTGCCTTCTCTTTCCGTTATACAACAACGGTTGATTTGGCGCCTAAGACCAGCGATGTCGAAGCGACGATTTTTGACAGCGGGACACAGCGAAGTACCTGAAACAGAAAATTAAAGGTGAGTGATCGTTTATATACCTGTAATTTGCTAATTTTGAAGGTGTCAGATCAAGAAATAGTTACAATTTTTGAAAGTTTATCGGATAAATTGGAAAATATTTCAACTGTCATAGGTACACAGGGTTTATCAGAAATAGTAAATAGTACAAAATTTTGATGGAAATTCTAAATATTTTAATGACTGGATAAAATCTATAGAAAAATATGCTATTTTAAAAGGTTTGGATGATAATGAAATAAAAATAGCCGCATTTCAATCAAGTAAAGGGACTGCAAGCGATTTTATTTGTAGATATTTGTGTGATAATCCTCGTAATTCGTAAGAACAATCAAAAGAAGAAATAATTACTAGATTAAGCAGTTAAATTGAACTTTATTTAGTTTAATTGTTTACAGATAATTTAGCGCATAATTATTTAAAAATTAAACTTATGAGAAAAAAAACACAACTTTACAAGCTGCGATTATGTGCGCAATGAATGAACAGAATGTTCAGAGCTGGATTTTCTGCCAGAGTAGGACAATTTTCTGATTCTCGAAATCACGCAAGAAACAATAATTTCAGAGCAAATAATTTTAATCGTTATTATTCAAGAATTGTTTGCGTTTACTGAAAAAGGTCAGGTCATTATGTGCGTAATTGCAGATTTAGGAAAAATGAAATATATTCTGAATTTAAGCGACAAAACTTTTCACGATTTAGTAAAAATAATAGCAATAATAGTTTGAAACCAAGGATTAAATGCGAGAAATGTAATAATTTTGGACATATTATGCGGGGATGGCGTAAACAAAATTTTTACGACAAAAACAAAATAAATTTTAAGGAAAACTTGCAAGTTCCTGTCAAAAAGGGGTCTCCGACAGGAACGATAAAATACCAAAATTTAGTATAGCTTTAGCGCGTAGTTCTAATTCATGTTTGATTAAAATTGAAAACTATAAAAACAGATCGTTAGTAGATTCAGGTGCTGAAGTTTGTTTTCTGCATCGCAGTCTATATAGAAAATTGAAGAATCCTCCTCAACTTATAAAACAGAAAATAAATTTATGTTCAGTTGACGGTAATTATTTACATATAGATGGTTATATAAATCTTACTTTTCAAATAGGAAAACAGAAACAACTCAAAAATTCTATGTTGTTTCTGAAATGAATAGAAATATTATTTTAGGCCGTGATTGGTTAACACAAAATGGCGTTTTTATAGAAGATTTTGTATTCCACACGTATTCTACATTTAGCATTCCCAGACCCAAATAAGCCTTATATTCTCTACACAGACTCCTCAGATTTGGTGGTCGAAGCATGTTTAAGTCAAAAATGTGACAAATCTGGTATTGAAAAACCTATTTACTTCTTATCTCATAAATTAAGTGAATCTCAAAGAAAGTACAGTACCATAGAAAAAGAAGCATTCATTATTCATTATGCGTTACAAACATTAGATGTTTATTTACATAATGCAAAGTTTACTATATTTACAGACCATAAACCTTTGAAATATCTTCTAGAAGCACCTATGCAAAACAAAAGAATTCAGCTTAAGGCTTTAAATATTTCTGCATATAACTGTAAATATTTGCCTTGAAAATTAAATTTAATCGCCGATTTCTTTTCTAGACCTCCAGCTGATGATAAAAATGTTAACAAGTCTGATGTTGAACTTTACGGGTCTGATATTAACAACAATGCCTTCGAAATAACAGTCTCAAAATCAAATACCAATTCAAATTATGATAATGTATATGCTGCGAAAACTGATGAAAGCTATGAAGTAAATGCTTTTGATTCTACTAATCTCAATGCTATACAAATAGCAAACAAAGAATACCAAATTCAAGAGCCAATTGTAGAACAATTAGAGAAATTATCTATGGCATCAGATCAAGATAAAGATCAAACTATTCTTGAACTGAAAATGTTACTACGTCACGGACAGCAAACTAAATCAGTGCAGAGCAAATATTTGGAAATTGACCAAGTTCTTTATTATCTGTCTAATGTAGATGATAATCCTTATCTTAGATTGTTTGTTCCGCAACACTTAAAACACATTGTCATTACTCAATAACATTTAAATAATGGTCATCCAGGAATACAAAGGTTATTTACAACAATTAAACAAAAATAGTTATGGCCATTATGTTCAAAGAATAATATGAAAATGTTTCTAAATGTGTTGATTGTCAGTCACGTAATCTTACAAAAATATTGACCTCTACAGTGGTTATCCCGAGTGTTTTCCTACTGGTGACAAAAGTACTGATACAATTATACATTTACTATTAGAAGAAATTTACCCTAGATATGTATGTCCATTACAAATTGTCACTGACAATGGATCAAAATTTACAAGTAATGCTTTCAAAGAAAGACTTAAAGAGTAAAAAATTGATCACGTGCGTACAACTACCTATCATGCTGCCGGGAACGCGAAAAGTGAACGTGACACTAGCCGCACTTAGATTCAATGTCTCTAGAACTTCAAAATATAGTCCATTTTATTTGTTATATAGCCGTTATCCCACGCTCCCGGTTGACCTGTTGCTACAACCTAGGCAACGTTATCATGGCGAAGAATATCACAAAATTGCTTTACTAGAACAACATAATACTTTACCTTAAATAAGCAAAACGCGAACAAGCAAGCCATGCAAATAAGACCGCAAAAGATATCAAATTTGAGATAGGCGATCCTGTATACTATAAGAATTTTCGTAAGAAAAGTAAATTAGATGTCAATTGGCGGCCATTTTATAGAATTATGGAAAAAAGTCACCATTAACTTACATTATAAAAAATCAGCTCGACAATTCAACAGTTAAGGTACACGCAGAACAAATTAGGCTTGCAAATATTAATGACTTGCCAATACTTAAAGTAGATAATACTGGCCGACCAAGAAGAAATGCCACATTTGTAGTTACACCTGAATATAGCGATACTGATGATGCTTCAGAAATACTAGAATCAGTATTACCAAAAGTTGCTAAGAATGTAAGAAAAGAAAGGTCAAATTCTGATAGTGAAGATGATATTCCATTAGCCAAATTACAGAAACATATTCGACAACAACAACAAATTTAATTAATGACAATGCTCAAAGTAATGCACATTCAGAAGAAATGCAACGACAGACTGATCGAGAATTATCAGACTCAAATTACATACAAGTAAATAGCAATCCTCAGTCACAAGCAGTGTATAATACTTTTCAGTCAGATTCAATGGCTGATGATAATGATTCAGATAACGAAATGTTTATAAACTCTATTTCGACTAGAAAGAAAGGTTTTGTTAAGCCGCGATATAAAGTTTCTGGTAAAGTAAATACAAAATCATATGGTTATAATAAAAACTCAAAGCATAACATGAAAATGTTATTTCACTGTATATCTAATTTGCTGTAAAAGTTGTGGATGTTATATGCTATACTAATTTTCGGTTTGACCTCAGGCATGCTACATAGTTATTATAAAATATATACAAAAAAAGAAACAAATATAAAACAAAACAGAAAATTACATTATATTAATTATATATCTTTATATTTTTGTTGTATTCATTTTTATCAATTTTCAAGTTGTTCTTTTTTATTAGAAATAAATATCTTTGACTTTTTTTAATTGGTTGAAATGATCGTCATTCGCTATATGTTTATTAATAGATCGGTTAGTTAATATGCATCTTTAAGTAAATGACCGCACTTAATCATGGGTTTCAAATTGATTATTTACTTTATTTCATATTAGAATAACATGTATATACATACATGTTTCAACTGTCAGCGCACAATCATTATATAAAGTTTAAATTGGGAGAAGTCTTATTGTTGAAATAAACTAAAATTAATAGCTTAGTTAAAACAAAAAAATATTTTTTAAAAATTCAATATGAAAAGTTAAAATATTAAATATCAAGTATTACATTAAAGATAAGATACTTACACTAAAGGACATCTTTCATTGAAATTCTTATGCTATGCATATATGACAGTTGTCTTGTTTTTCATTTATCTGAAACAAAATTATGTTTATTGTAAGTATTATCTATTAACCGATTTGACAACGGACGAAAATGCAAAATATTGGTCTTACGATCACTTGTCGTCCAGCCAAGACAGAGAGGTGCGAGCGAACTCGCCGGTACAGTAAAACACCGCCTGACTAGACACTATTTTAGTCAGCCTCCACGATGTCAACAGTCTACGATGTCAAACTATGAACATAAAACCATGAACACATACGTTCTCCGATGTAAATTAGGCGTCTACGAAGTTTAAATTATATATCAATTTAAAAGAATCTTCAAGAAAATCAAACATTTATGAACAATTATGGATTTCAATTCAACTAAAATCTACATACCGCTTTAAACGATTTAAAATTCCCTCGCCACGTCACATCGACCAAGCCATACTGATGTCAAACATTCTACAGCGGGTACCTGTACCAAAAATAGACACGTCAAAAGGATGTGTTCTATGCACATGCACAATAAACGTTCTAACAGGAAATAAACACGTGGACACTTCATCAATTGTTTTTAACTTTATACTATTTTCTAACTTTTCGTATATAAATATTTATACTTTTCTTCTCTTATCATACGGATAATTCTGTTAAATTTTATACCTTAAATATAGTGATCAGAGAGGATTTGAAATAAAAAAAACGCAAAACTTTTACAATCATTATTGAACCGCGAGGATGTTAAATCTGTGTGGTCTGATGAGGGGAAAATATTTTTTCCATATTGTCAAATGGTAATAAGATAAAGTTGGATATTCAAACGGATTTGTCGAGACGTCTCGCTTAAAAAGAACTACTAAGTGATAAAAACTTGATACTGTATTAAATATAAATTCCATTTGGCTTGACTGACATTTTATCATTTATACACTTGCAGAAATTCTATACATATATCTATAGTTTTTATTGAAAACTTATATAAGTACATATGATTCATTTATACTTTTCTCACTCTTTGTATTTCATATTCGATTGAACATAAAGAGAACTAGTGAGTGACAAAACCTTGATATTGTTATAGCATGAAGTTATCAATATAAATTTAATAAAGCCTGGCTGAAAATGTGGGATTTATACACTTTTAGAAATTCTGCACATATATCTATATATTTTATTGAAAATTGATATAAGTACATATGTGCGATTTATACTTTTCACACTCACTGTTTTTCATATTCAATTTAACAGAAATTTGAGTACGGTCATTCGACACATATACAATTAAATTTATACTTAGATATTGGATGTATATGTTCCATTTTTTCCCCGTTGAAAGCGGTATTACTTAATGATGTATTATTTTATTCGACACATATACAAATAAATTTATACTTAGATTTTGTATGTATATGTTCCATTTTTTTTCTAGTCGTAAGCGGTGTTACTTAATGATGTCGAAACTCGTGTACATATATACACATATGTACAAAAGCCACACTTTGTTTAAGGTATTTTTTTTTATTCGACACATATACAATTAAATTTATACTTTGATATTGTATGTATATGTTCGAACTTTTTCCCCGTTGTAAGCGGTATAACTTAATGATGTCGAAACTCGTGTACATCTTCACATATGTACAAAAGCCACACTTTTTTAAGGTATTATTTTATTTGACACAAATACAATTAAATTTATAATTTGATATTGTATGTATTTGTTCCAATTTTTTCCCGAAAGCGGTATTACTTAATGATGACGAAACTCATGTACATCTACACATATGTACAAAAGCCACACTTTGTTTAAGGTATTACTTTATCCGACACATATACAATTAAATTTATACTTTGATATTGTATGTATGTGTTCCAATTTTTTCCCCGTTGTAAGCGGTATTACTTAATGATGTCGAAACTCGTGTACATCTACACATATGTACAAAAGCCACACTATGTTTAAGGTATTATTTTATTTGACACATATACAATTAAATTTATACTCAGATATTGGTTTAGGATAAAGTACATTTGTGATACTGCACTCACATACTACATATGATGATGGGCCTTTATAAACTGGGCCGGAATCACAGAAGAAAGCACAAAGGCCACACATTGTTTAATGTATTATTATATTTGGTATATGTTACATGTACTCAAAAACTACATATACTTGTTGATTTTTTTGTTTCGTTTTGTTTTTTCGTAGGGTACAAATAAAGCAACCATGCAAATATTTTTCTAAATATTAGTTTAATGTTAATTATACATTGAACACTGAAATTATACTTGAGATTTTTTGTACATGTCTAAATGTAATATATGTTTTAATTACAAAAGTAATGTTATTTAGTTCAACATGCGCAATTAACAAATCAAAACATAAGCTTTTTGAAAATTTAAAATTTGTGTTCATACATTAAGAAATATTTGTAATGTCTTATATACTGAAAACAACACGATAAAGTACTGTATACATATTTACATACAAACTGCTGTGTTAAGGTAGACGTTAAGCAAGATTAAACCTTAGTCAGCGGTATTTTGTGCTATCTCTGAATTTTTTATTGCCTTTTTTGTATATATAGTTAAGCATCATTATAAAAACATCACTTAACGGGTTATTCATTGTTTAAAGTCTGAGTCAATCATTCACCTTTTTGGTTCAATATGTACGTGTCTTCAAAAATTGATTATAGCTGATTTACATTTGGTACTTCTATTATATGGTAATTTACTTCTTTCAAGCCAATGTCGATTATTCATGGCAATACAAAGGTTATCTGATTCTGACTTAGAATGTCAAATGGTATAACAATAGCTAGTTTAAATGTACAGGGGATCGGGGACAGTCGGAAAAGAAAAGATGTATTTGGGTATATTCGTGATAAGAAATTTAATATTTATTATTTGCAGGACACACACTGTTTTAATTATGTTAACATAAATAATCCGAAGGCGAGAGATACAATATTAAGTATTATTTTGGAACACAATTTAATAGAGTGTTGGCGTGAACAGAATTTAGAATCTATACAATACATCGGTTAAACGTAATCCAGTAAAAAAGCGCGTTTAAACATGTTTTTGATCTCGAGCGACTTATTTTTAGATATCTCGGACATTTGTATTTTGCCGGGTTATCGCTCGGATCATTCCATTGTTATATTAACATCACAACTGAGTGAATTTAAGGCAGGTAAATCCTATTGAAAATTTAATAATTCGCTATTGAAAGATGCCGAGTATGTTAAACAAATTAAACAATTAGTACAGCGTATTATTCAACAGTATGCCTCGGATGATCAAAATCAATCAGTAAACTACTCTGTTACTAATCAAAATATTTCGCTATCTATTGATGATAAGTTATTCTTAGAGACATTGTTAATGCAAATTCGCGTTCACACAATCACTTATGCCACTTTTAAAAAACGACATGACAATATCAATGAGAAAACACTTAACACGGCATTTGATTCCGTGTCTTGGGACTTTTTGATTTCGGTTCTGAAATTTTTCAACTTTGGTGACTCTATTGTTTCATGGGTAAAACTATTTTATACAAATATACAATCATCTGTTGTTGTTAATGGCAACCTCTCCGACTGGTTCCCCTTATTTCGAGGTGTTAGACAGGGGGACCCCCTGTCACCGTATATTTTTGTCCTGTGCGCGGAGATTCTTGCTTTACTTATAAAAAAATAGTAATATCAAAGGTATCAAAATTAAGGGTATAGAGTATTTGATGCCACAATACGCAGATGACACCTCATTGATATTAGACGGTTCTGAAAAATCCCTCGTTCATACTATGAAAGTTTTAAAAATTTATGCAGATATCTCTGGTTTAAAAATAAATGTTGACAAAACTAGGGCGTTATGGATAGGTGCTATGAGAAATAGCGATGTAGAGTTATGTCCGGAAATCGGTGTTAAATGGGACAAAGGTCCATTTAAATTATTGGGAGTAACTTTATCAACAAATATTACATCTATAAGTGATCTTAACTATCCTTCCAAGAGAAATGAAGTTAAGACTCTTTTAAAAGTATGGTCCAGAATACTACTTCTCCTATAGGAAAGATCACAGTGATTAAGAGGCTTGCTTTGTCTAAATTAACTAACCTGTTTTTAACTTTACCAAACCCTAAATCTGATGCAATTAAAGACATACAAAATGTATTTTTCAAATTTATTTGGATAAGATAAGTAGAAAAAAACTCACTCAAGATATATGTAATGGTGGGCTTAGAGCGGTTGACTTAATACATTTCATCAGTGCTTTGAAAATCACTTGGATAAAAAGACTTTTCTCTTCAAACACTAAACATGCTTTTCTTGTACAAGAATTGTGTCCACCTCTTTACCAGTCGACCAAAAATGGTAGTGACTATTTGTTACAACATAAAAGTAGAGTAAACAGTTTGTTTTGGAACGATGTTTTGAATTCATATTATTTATTTCAATGTAAGATTTGTTGAGGTAATTGGGCAGATTTCTTGTCCAATCCGGTATGGTTAAATCCTAATTTCAAATTTGCAGGAAAATTTAAACACTTCACTTAAAATATATATACCTAAAAGTTTTTCTTATTAATGTTCTTTAAATATTTTGTTCTTTGAAAATTGTTAACTTATTTGTTTGTTTTGATGTTTACTATAGAAATTAACTTTTTTCTCTTTTTTTATTATGAAATATAGGAAAACTAATATTTAATGAAACACCTATTAAGCTATATACAATGTTACTTTCTAGAACTTAAAATTTATTTTTGTAGAATAACAGTTACATTAACTGATAAAAATTTCGAATGTTTATTTCTCAATCGATTCAATATAAAGCATTTTTGCATAAAGATTATCTTAACATTTAACAATTATTACTTTTTTACTTATTAAAAACATTACAAAATTGTTGAATTGTATAAACCCCAAAAGTAAATTATTTCCTACCTGACATGTTTCTTATCCGAAAACTCTGTTGAAAATGACCACAAAAACATCTATTGACCGAAGATTTCCAAATATTGTTTCTTTTTAAAATAAAGTAACAAAAGGTCGTTAGATAACATCTCTGACCGGATATGACTTTAGGTGATTTTTCCTTTAAAAGAAATGAACAAAAGGTTGTTATAGAACATCCTTACCTTGGGACAAAAAATAGATGTAAAGAGATTTCATTATCTTAAACAATATGTAATAATCTTCTTTTTAAATATTTTTTTATAAGTGAGGAAGGGTTTTTGCATTTTGCATTTTAAGTTACTTAGTCATACATTTTATATAATTCAAAAGAATGACAACAAAGAGTTTAGTATAAGTGCATGTGTTTATTCCATAATGTGAACTGTAAAATATGACATTGATGTCTATATATTGTAAGAATCGTTTATTACCGATTCTAATTAAAGTATATAATATATATCTAAAGTTAAGCGTTGTTTGGCGCCAACTTATTTAACGTTACGCAAATTTAGCAATTAGCGGTATGTGACAGAAGTTTCTAATTACTAAATTTGAAGAAATTAGATAAAGATACTTACTATTAATACAAGTGAATTCGTGTGATGATAAATCAATAACTCTAAAAGTGTTATAAACTATGGAACAAACAGATTTTATAAGTGCAAGGAAAACGCGAACAACCCATCTTTCACAATTGACAAAGATTTACAATGAAATCGAAAAACAGATGGTGTCTTATGAAAATACAGAAAAAGTGAAAGAATTATATGATCGTCTATGTAATAGATACGAACTTTTCAAAACAGTACATTTACAATGTATGGATTTGTGCAAAGATACGGAAACGTTTGAGACTTTAGAAAATAGTTATGTAAGCCAACAAAACAATTTTGTTGAATGTAACGAACGCTATACGGAGTGGATTAAATGTTTAGATTCGACAGCAGACGATGATAACGCGTCTGTGCGCACGAGAGCTAGTTCGGTACAGTCATCACGTGCAGCTATGCAAAACGCAAAAGCAAAGCGACTAGTTGCAGAACATCGTTTGAAAATGTTGAGAGAAAAACAGAGACTTGAACGGCAGCAAAAGGAAATAGAGAATGAACGTGAACTATTAGAACAGGAGAGCGAGATAGAAATTGCTAGAATTGAGGAGTCAGTTTTTAATGAGAGTAACGAAGAAATTCCAGTAAGTGCACGAATTACGGCACAGACGCATCAGGAAAATGAATGTGACATAGATGCTTCTACTTCCGGTCACACAAATGTACCACGTGATACTTCAGATAGTGCAGGATCTCATGTGTTTTTACAGAACAGATTCGATGGTGAGTCCGTATCTAAGGTTACAGAACAGTCAAGATTTAATGGTAAGACAGACAATACCTTAACTTCCGGTTCGAGTGATAGCAGTAATTCAGCATTTGAGAAACTAGCAACAATATTACAAGAAGGGTTTAACTTACCAAAGCCCGAATTATTAACATTTAATGGTTCTGCGATAGATTATTGCAAGTTTATCAAGAATTTTGAGACAAACGTAGAGGCAAAAGTAAGTGATGATAGACTTAGATTAAGCTACCTTATTCAATATTGTAATGGTGAGGCGAAATCATGTATTGAAGATTGCGTTTTGTTAGATTCAAATGAAGGGTACAGACAAGCTAAAGCTATTTTACAGTCACGTTATGGTAGGCCACATGTAATTGCCAGAAATTACATTGATAAACTGTTGTATGGCCCTCAAATTAAAGCGTCTGATATTGACGAACTATCTAAGTTAGCATTAGATATGCAAAGATGTCATATGACCCTATCCCAATTAGGTTTTGTTTCTGATGTAAATAATTCAGAAAACTTAAGACGAATTGTTAGACGTTTGCCTATGCATATGCGAACCAAGTGGGCAGATATTGCACATACAATCTATGAGTGCGGCAAAGAGCCGAGATTCTTTGATTTGTTGAAATTTGTTGAAGAAAGATCACGTGTTGCTTGTTCGGTATATGGTATTGATATTGTTAAAGAAAATGTACCATCCCAAGTAAGAAAACAGCCCCATAGTCTGCCTAGTACTTCTGTTAAAGGCAAAATAACTACCTTGTCGTCATATACTGAAAGTGATAAACACAAGAACGAAAGAAAATGTTATTGCTGCTCTGGTTCATGCTTAGACTTAGCATCATGTCATAGATTTAAGAAAATGACTTTAACAGATAGAAAGAAATATGTTGTTAAGAACAGATTGTGTTTCAATTGTCTTAAACGCAATCACATGTCTAATGAATGTAGGAAAGAAAAATCATGTACTATACCTGATTGTAGCAGCAAACATCACACATTATTACATAGCTGGTTCCCGGTAGGTTCTGATAAATCTGTAACGCAACCTTCAATAAATTGTACGGCCACAAATGGCTCATTTTCTAAAACATGTTTGGGGATTATACCTGTAACTGTTAAGGGTAGGGACGGTTACTTCTGTCAAACATATGCCCTGCTTGACGATGGCGCAGACAAAACCCTGTGTGACGAAAAGCTTATAAGGAAGCTGAATATATCAAGTAGGCCAGTTACTTTCCAGATTTCAACTGTTAATTCAACAAGGAATGCAATACACGGAAAAGAAGTTGACCTAACTGTGAGTCCTATTTCCGGTGAAAGTGAAGTGAAGCTTCACAATGTTTGGACAGTAAAACAATTGCCTATTTCTACGCGATCTGCAGCTACTGCCGATGATATTAGAAGTATACCATATTTAAGTGACTTGAATATTCCTTACGTGAACGTTAATGAAGTCATGTTACTAATTGGCACAGATACACCGGTAGCACATATTCCCCTAGAGATACGAACAGGAAGTAGTAATGAGCCATATGCTGTGAGAACGCAACTTGGTTGGGCAGTTCGTGGACCAATACCATGCAATAATTCAAAACATTATAAAACAGACAACAGAAGAACCCCAATTAACATTCATTTCGGTCAGTCAAGTGACGCCATACTACAACAACAACTTGAACGTATGTGGACGTCAGACTTCAATGACGCAACCTATAATGAGAAAAATTCCATGTCAGTTGAAGATAAGAGAGCACTTGGAATTATGGAATCTACACTTTCTCATGTTAATGGACACTATGAGATGGGATTACCATGGCGACAGGATGACACAAAATTGCCGAATAATTTAGTGCTTGCGCATGCGCGATTGAACCACCTGAAAAGAAAACTTTCTCGTGACAACGTGTTACATGAGATGTATACCAAAACAATGACAGACTATATTGATAAAGGATTCGCAAAAGAAGTGACAAATAAAGATACGAACTCTGAACAGATATGGTATTTACCCCACCATCCTGTAGCCAACGTGAATAAGCCCGGAAAAGTGCGTGTTGTATTTGATTGTGCGGCAAAATATAAAGGTATTTCACTAAATAGTCAACTTTTACAAGGTCCTGATATGATGAACAGCCTTGTAGGCGTATTAACCAGATTTCGACAAGAAAAGATAGCTCTTTCCGCTGACATAGAGGCAATGTTTCATCAGGTACGTGTATGTGAGAAGAACTGTGATGCCCTATATTTTCTATGGTGGCCTGGTGGAGATTTATCTATAACACCCATGACTTATTGTATGAACGTCAACTTATTTGGAGCAACTTCTTCTCTGGGCTGCGCTGCGTATGCGCTGAGAAAAACTGCCATTGACAATGCAGAGAGATTTGAACCTGCAGTATTATCAACTGTAAAGAGAAACTTTTACGTAGACGACTACCTGAAGTCTGTAGAATCTGAAGATAAAGCTGTTAAACTTGCAGCAGATTTACAGTCCCAGATGAGCTTAGGTGGCTTCAGACTTACAAAGTGGATGAGGGTACTTAATACGATTCCGGAATCTGAACGTGCGCAGACGGTCGTTAGCCTCTGCCATAGAGACTTACATGTAGATTACATTTTGCTTGTGGTAGACAATAGTGTTCCTATAGGACAGTGGCCACAAGGCAGAGTAACCGAAGTCATTAAGGGTAGGGATGGGCATATTCGTAAATGTAAAGTTCAAACTAGGGACTCAGCTATGATAAGGCCAATCACAAAGTTGTGCCTTTTAGAATGTGCAGACTAATTATTGTATTACGCTGAAAATATTTCACAAGATTATGTTAATGTTTAAAAGGATACATACTGTGTATTAAATAGATTGTTTTAACATTAGCAAGTACTTTAATATAATGCATGATTTATTGCAAATATAATCATTCTAATGAACATGAAGTTCGTTGCAATTTACATTTTTGTATCGATAATATATTGTTAATTGACATTAAATGATTTGATGAAATTAAGATATTTCATGGAGGGCACTGTAAGAATCGTTTATTACCGATTCTAATTAAAGTATATAATATATATCTAAAGTTAAGCGTTGTTTGGCGCCAACTTATTTAACGTTACGCGCTGAATAGTTTAGCGCGTCATTTTGACGTAATTGTTTGTTATGAATTTAAAAGGTAACTTCCGTTATATGTAGCGGCGTTAAACGTTAAAGCTGAAACTGTATTTTAAAGGTTTCGATGTGAGAGACATTATAGTCGGTATGATAGCTGCTTAAATTATTTTGATTTATTTATTTGTTAACGGATAAAAAGAATTTTCTAATGAAGTATTTATTAATTTTAATCAATTGTTACGATTATTTATCACACACCCGTGCCGATTTTGCGACTCCGTAAATATGGTATTGCACGGTCGTGCATATATTTTGACGTGACGTCATTAGCGTTATGCAAACATAGTGTAAAGACGCGCTAAATGTTAGCGTTCTACTATAGGCGCGTCAACGGAAAATAACTCTTATTTCACTTTAAACGGTCTTTATTTTGGGTATGTGATAAATAGAATATTAAATTCGTGTAAGTTCATTGCTGAATTTATTGCACTCGTTGAATAAAATAATATTATGCTCGCCAGAGGCTCGCATATTATGATTTTGTTCAACTCGTGCAATAAATTCAGTGTTGAACTTACACTCATTCAATATCCTCTATTTATTTTATGGATTTTAACTGTACTTCTGTTTATTAAGATTCTTCGTCATAGGAAATATAATTATTTAATTATTCTATTCTATTATTTGTTAAGTTTATATCAGAAATGAATGTATTAGTTAATTACTTTATCATTTGTTTCAGATAATCGCTTTGTTTTATGCTGATGTGGGAAAATAAAAGATATATAGAAGCGCATACTCGAAAAGTCTAGTTGTTATCCGAAATCCTTTACATATATTATATAACAATATACATGCAAACTGGACTGGGTGGTATCATATGTCAAAAATGATAAATGAGAGTTCTACATGTAACTCTAAACGCGTACATGTATATGCATTATAAGTTGCAATTATTACAAGTTGTCATTATAAATAGTGGTCTCAACGCCCAGTCTAGGAAGTTTGAAATTGGTATTTGTCCAGAGCAGATATACACTTATGTATTTAGTAATAAAATGTGAAATATCAGTACGTTCTGTTTCCGTTATACAACAAGAAAAATAGCGTTATCTTTTTGTTAAAACATCGGCTTTAAACAATGATTTAACATCAAAATTAATTCACCCGTAGAGGTGAACTAATTTTACCGTTAGCGGAACAGAAAATTGTTTGATCCCCTGATCTGGCCCTGTCAACTCCCAACCAGTCAATATTAACATTTTTACAACAAAACATAATTATTAGAGTTATAAACCTAGTTTTTGACAGTGACCTCCAGTTATGATTTTACACGCATGCCAAGCTAAAAGTGAAGTTTTCTGAATATACATCGAGGCCATTTCTTATAACATGCATATGGAATAAAAATAAATACGATAATCAGACCCTTAACTGGCTCATCAATTACCACAATGCAACAGTTAAACATGGCTTTCCATGTCTGAATTTTGTACTGTCAACAGCAATATTAAGTGTTTTTCAAGTGTTTAAAAGATGGAATTAATCATTTAGACTTTGTTCACATGTTTCCCAACACACAGTCTTAATATTTCACAAATGTATTTAATAAACATTATGGAATAAACACTGATAAAGATGCAAACACAAGGAAAATATACATGTGGGAAAAGGTTGAAGCGTACAGACTGGAACATTTTAAAAGGATGAATGTCAAGCGCTATACCAGAATGCATAGTTAATGTATGGTACATTGCCAAATGCTTTAAATGACAATGTCATTAGGATCAAGTCTGGCGAAATCTACAAATAAAATGCAAGGTGACAAAGTTACAAATTAACCAGCATAATATACTGGCATTACACAAAGAAAATTCAGGTAAAATGACTTTAAAAGAACATTAGATATGTTTGCCGATGTACAAACTGCAAAATCTCAAATTCGGTCAAGATATTCATAGTTTTATGTATACTGGTATATATAGGTACTAAGGTACTGGTTACACCATGTAAATGACCAAACAGTCAAAAACGACTTATCAGATAACATGAGTCTATTAGTTTATGACTCGACTGTACTCGGCTGTATATTTCAAACAGTGTAAAAAAGCTGGGTTTTTTTGTATTTCTTATTATGCCCCCACTTCAAAGAAGAGGGGGTATATTGCTTTGCATTTGTCGGTCCGTCGGTCCGTAGACCAATTGGTTTCCGAGTGATAGCTTAAGAACGTTTATGCCTAGGAACTTCAAACATGGTATGGTGATTGGTCATGACCAGCAGATGACCCCTATTGATTTTGGGCTCAAGGGGTCAAAGGTCAAGGTCACTTTGACCTTGTAGGTAAAAACGGTCTCCGATCAATAGCTTAAGAACGCTTAGGCCTAGGAACTTCAAACATGGTATGGTGATTGGTCATGACCAGCAGATGACCCCTATGGATTTTGGGGTCAAGGGGTCAAAGGTCAAGGTCACTTTGACCTTGTAGGTAAAAACGGTTTCTGATCAATAGCTTAAGAACGCTTAGGTGTAGGAACTTGGTATGGTGATTGGTCATGACCAGCAGATGACCCTTATAGATTTTGGGGTCAAGGGGTCAAAGGTCAAGGTAACATTGACCTTGTAGGTAAAAACTATTTCCGATCAATAACTAAAGAACCATTAAGCCTAGGAACTTCAAACTTGGTATGTTGATTGGCCATGACCAGCAGATGACCCCTATTGATTTTGGGGTCAAAGGGTCAAAGGTCAAGGTCACATCGACCTTGTAGGTGAAAACGGTTTCCAATCATTAAGTAAAGAACGCTTTGGCCTAGGAACTTCAAACTTGGTATGCTGATTGGACATGACCAGCAGTTGACCCATATTGCTTTTGGGGTCAAGGGGTCAAATGTCAAGGTCACATTGACTTTGTATTTGAAAACGGTTTCCGATCAATAACTAATGAACCCTTAGGCCGAGGAACTTCAAACTTGGTATGGTGATTGGTCATGACCAGCAGATGACCCCTTTTGATTTTGGGGTCAAGGGGTCAATGTCATATTGACCTTGTACTTAATGACGGTTTCTGACCAATAACTCAACAACTTGGTTGATATTTTTATATTAAACTAAAAATGCTTATGGTATACACATTTGAAGGTCTTATGTAATATAACAACTTGGCTGTCATTAATGAGGCCTACATGATTCATAAAATTTATGCATATATTATTTGATAAGATTTGTAATAACTTAAATTGCTGCAAACAACCAATGGGGTCACAATAATTATTACCTTGTGACTAGTCATGATCAGTAGATACTAGATAACCCATTTATTAATTGTTTGTTCACTGGGTCAGAAATCATGCATAATAACCTGATCACATTACTAATTGGCTGTCGATAGGGGGCATACATGTTTTACAAACATATCTTGTTGAATTGGAGAGTAATCGACCATTTTTTTTGTAAAGGAAAGTAACACACTGTATTATAGGAATTAATATTTTTGACTCTTGTAACTAAACGTTAAACTTAAACTGCTTTTTAAGTATAACGAAAATTTTAACATAGCTCAATTTTTGGCATTTCATTTGTTAACGAAAATGTTAAAATTTGATAACTGTTAAGTTAGTTTGTTGTTAAAGTAAACAACTGGGCCATTAACTTGAAGTTTAAATACCAATGCAATGTCCCAATGCAAGTATTCCTTTTAAAGTTTGATACCTCTGATAGGTAGTTTTACGTAATTGTATCCCTTTTTATGCAAGAAAGCTTCAATAGACTGTTTTTTATTTACTTAATAATATATCTCTTTAAACAATATAAAGGTTTTTATTTCATTAACTCTTTAAACAAGGTAATAAATTATTATTGTTACACAAATGAAACATTCAAACTGTAAGTGAAGCTCACATTTGGCTTCAGACATCTTATTTACCATATAGTTAAGGTAGCTCAATGGTTTAATTTATCAGTATGATTAATTTATACAAATGATTACCCGTTTCGTTCATTTCGTTTTATATTTTAAGTAAATGAATTTTTATAGCTAATGTTACAAGCAAAATTAATTTGTGGCAAGCTAAAAATGTTAATCATTCACAGGAAAGTTTATCCGGTTTAACCGGAGGGGACTTTAGGTTTACCCTCCGTCGGTCTGTCTTTCCGTTCGTCTGTCAGTCCAACTGTCAGTCGCTCAATTCGAGCGTCCATAAAACTGGATCCCGCAATAACACAAACACTACCAAATTTTTTAAATAAAACTTGATATATGGATAACTGACAGTCTTGAGAATATGCAAATTTTCTTTTCTTCCTATGTTGAAAATTTTGGTTGCTATGGTAACAAATATACTGAAATTATGGCTAATTTAACACAAAAAAAATGATAACGAAAACAGTACTGAAAATATTGTTATAAAACTTAGATGACAGTCTGCAGATTATATACGTCGTTTTCTCCTCCATTTTTTGAAAAATGTGGTTGCTGTGGCAACAAATAGCTTTAGAATATAGCAAATATAACAAACTAAAAAAGTAGAATTTTAATAACAAGTCCGTAAATTATTAAAATACGAAAATCTTTATTTTTGCAAATACGGATTTTGTATGAAGAAATAGAGAATTAAGATTTACTTCTGAATTGCCTATTATCTGTAAGAGGAAATTTAACATTTGTCAGACATTTGTCAGAATAACATCAACTAGTAAATTAAAGCTTTTACTCAATTTATATTTGCTGGATTAATTTACTTGTTAACAGCATACTGATAATATGGTCGTGCATAGAACCTGTAAAATATCGAAAGATCTTTGACATAGTCTTGATCAAGTACAGACAACAAATGATGATATTGAAACGTACCCGGGGTCTGCTAGCCCGGACACACTTGAATATCGACACATTGGTTCTTCTCAAACACACGTAAAAGGTTAAAGGAAGTAAGGGACACAATGACTTGAAGATACGGACACCTGAAATGAGATCAACACAACAATCTATCCAATATACATTTCACAAGCAATGAAATTCGTATATTGTATTTTCTGTAAATGGCGTTAGCTTGGGCTCCTCGTCTTGAGGTCTGGAGTATTTTTCGTGTTCGTCTAGAATAATGTAGAATATAAGATGAAATGAAATGAAATGCTTTACAAATATGGTGTCACGTCTTGCCTGTGGTCTGGTAGAAAATATATGGTAGAAATTACCATAAAATTCAATAAGGTTGATGGGTATCTAAAATGGTAAAGTACAAAATACAGTTGTGTTCTACCCTGGTATATGGGTATCACTATTAAATATAGGATTATGGCTATGGAAACTTGGTCTTCAGTTTGGTCTGTTTAAATTCCGCAGGCGTGTGTATTTTAACACTTCTAGCAAAGTTCATGTGTTAAGTACATTTTTGTTAATATATATGTCTTGTAAATTAAATAAAACAATATCTGAAGGTGATTATTCATTCATTCACTCTTTCATTCTTTCATTCATTTAGTTTGTTGTTTTTTCCACCCTAAAAAGACTTTTGCCCCAGATGTTAAGGAAAACTTTTCTTAATCTTCATTCTTTCCGCGCGGTCTCATTTATAACATAGCATTAGGTCACAGTCACTTGCTGTAAAACGTTAATCGGAGCCAATACTGATAAAGTCGGATATGGACCATAAAACCCAGCAGGGTATATTGAGTGTCGGTTTTCTCCGATTACGTAAGTTTGCACAATGATTTTTCGAATAACGGTCAATTTCACCGCTTATTTCTAATATGGCAAAAGTATTTTAACGAAATATATTTTTCCTGCTTATTACAAAATATATCTTGACAAATCTCTCGTTTTATAGTAATATTCTGTTTTAACAATTAAAATTGCCGTTGTTAAAAAAAAACATCCCAGACAAAACGGAACAGATTTTACATAAGAACATATAATGCAAACAATTATTTTGTATATAAGTATGCAGACTCTTCAAAACAAGTTAATGACAATTTTCAAACTAATATTTATGATTAATTCATCTTATTGATATATAATTGATATTATGTTTAAACGAAATAGTGATTGCTATTATAAAAGAATTATTAAAATTTCGATAATCCGATATTAAAATACGAAAAAGAAGAAGAAAAAAAACACTGTTGAGGAGAGGTAGATAATTTATATATTTTTTTATTTATTCATTCATTCTTTCATTCTGTCTTTTACAGCTTATTGTTGTTGTTACTTTTGTCTTTTGTGTAATAAATGCTACTAAAGCATTTTTGATTAAAAAAAAGATAATTACCGATTTAGAAAACACATTTATCATTTCAATTCAGAAGTTTCATCAAAGTTTTGCCGATGAATAATTATCAATAAATATATGTAAAATAATCATTTATGGATACATGATCTTTCCAATTAAACACGGGATTATTTTAAACATCGTATCATTAATGCCAGGTTAATTCTAAATGCTATTTTACACAAAGGGTATCGAGGCATTACATCACGTGTTTCAAAACAACTAATAAGGTAAAGCGTTGGTTTGTACCACGTCATCAGATTCGACCAATCAGAAATAGCGCGGGTAAAATAGAAATAAAATGGCACGAAAAGGAGCAGGATAAACTGATTGGATTCGACATTTTTAACACCTAGATTGTTATCCAATATAGCTGCCAGATAAGATAAAGCAAAGTTTCAGATATCGGACAAATTTAAGGACCAGATTTAGGAGGACATGTGTAGTTCTTGATTATTTTACTATTTTTGTTTAATTATGTGTTTATCAGATCTACAAAATGTTTATTTACTTGATATCTATAAATTCCTTATCAGTTGAACATTATCATTTTATTGATAAGCCTGTCCTTGCTCTGCCTTGTGCCTTGTCCTGTGTTTTTGGGGTCCGCCTGGGCTCCTTGCCACTGTTCCTTGTTGCTGATCATATGGGGGTTGTGTTCTATGAACGCAGCCTTTCCTTGTTGATCTCGTTTATCATATTTAATGCTCACAAATGTGTTGTTTGTGCTGTGTTGCGGCTGTAAAAAGTCTCCCCGTATCATGCCACATGCAATCAATGTTGTTATATTTTCATCCTCAAGGGATTGTTCGGCGATTGACGGCAAGTGAAAATTTAGACTTTACAACAGCGAAGGTAAAAACATGCCTTCCCCAGTGTTTGATTCTTTCTCTTGTATATCTTATTAGAAATAATGCTTACTGGGCTAAATTATATCATATTACATGAAATAACGTCAAATCAGACATTTATAAGCATTTTCAAGCGCATTTGAAAATGCCAAAACATCCTTTGTATTATGCAAAAATAAAAAAAATATAAATATTAGAAACGTATATTGCTGTTTTTAATGCTCCCGATGGATCGATTTAAATATATAGTTATATTAAACAAATATGTAAATTTTATAAAGTTGGAACACTTTGTGATATACCGTTGATAGTATTACAATTTACGTTTATTTACTTTTTTATAAATAGGAGGTTGCCAAATTTTTTATAACAAGCTATTTATGAAACCTACGAAAATGAGGATTAGGATCAAGCGACCGGGGGTGAGTTTCGACAAAGTGTTGTTTTGTTGTTGTCTAACAACATTTAAAAAAGCTTTTATATATTGTGTATGAAAATCAATTTAGATTTTTAGTACGTTTTTTAGAAAGTTGTTATAATCATTTCCTGGCACTATTTGAACAGGATTTTAAACCTTTTTTTACGTTTCACACATGCAAAAGGGGATGCTAACTTGTCCTACGTCACGAAAAAAGTTTTTGTCACACTGGCCTACGTAACATTTGGATGAACCATATTCTATAGATGATTCATTTGAAATATTTTTTTTTTATTTTGAGTACAGTATTTGAATGACGAATTTCATGTGGATACGGATTTTTTATTTATTAGAATGTTTTAACTTATTTACATAATACACTTTTTGATAATGACACTTCCGTTACATGAAGTAGGCATTTTTATTTTATATAGCATATGCATATCTATTGTTTATATGTTTATGAATGAATTAAAAAGTTTTACTTTAAAGTCAGCTGATTCGGTTTTCCTTTATTACTTCAAATACTCCCAATAATTATAATAATAATAATTATAAAAATGATCCTAATAATATGTTTATTAATATATAGTTATCAGTCACAACGTATAATCAAACATGTACAAACCTGACTTTTAGTCACTTATGCATGTCATAAATTATGTTCATGCATATATTTGATATTATTTGTACTCTCATATCTAAAGAATCAGCTCAGTATACCCCAAGCTCTAAACTACAATTCCGTATATCCCTTGTATATATCAAAATACGATTCCGTGTATCCTATGTTTATGTAGAAATACGATTCAGTATATCCTCTGTATATATAGAAAATACGGTATCCTCTCTATAAGTAGAAAATTCAAAGATGTATATCTAAAAAAACGGTTCCGTATATCCACTGTATATCTATAGTATACTATAAAAAATGGCCTTGATAAAGTCCTTATACTGGACTTTTAACACTGTATACTACAAAAATACGAACAAATATACGTATATGTATGTGAAACAAATACGGAATTCCGTACATGCATGGTCCATATACGGACTTTCCGTATACCCGGTGTTCCCTATACGGACTCGTATACTTGGTCGGAAGTGGTGGCAAATTGATACAGTACAAACTAAATCAAATCAAATTACAAATTAATTTAATACAAACTTAGAGAGGACATGTTCATTGATGCATTAAGCTTTTCGATTCCTTACTTCCTGACTATTTTATCTTTTATCATTATCACAGCAAACATAATTAAACATCTGCTAAAATAATCCTTTTTATAAGATGAGGCATAATAAAGAAATCAAAACAAAACACAATATTTGAAAATTCAACCAAGTTGGATATTGGTTAAAAAAAACACTGATCATATATTGTAAGAAATTGGTTACGAAAATCTATCAATCTAAATGATTTAACATAAATGTTACAAACTCAATCAAACCGAGTCTGACATTTTTCTATAATTTAATTGCATAAAAATGCTTCCAGATCATTAAGCTTGTTTTCCAACCCATATTTCTAATGTCAAATGTTACATGCTTGTGAATTTGCTAAACAAAATATAACTAAACCAAATTCGAAGCTACTTAAATCGTACAACATTTATTCAAATACCTCCATGCCTGCATAACATCACTTCAGTGTGCTCGAAAACTTGCAGCGATTTATCCACTCAATTGTTTCATCTAGTCGATTGTTGAATGATATAGCGGATAGATTGAAATAAATGTTTTTCTCAAAAGTAACTAATAATGGTTCGAATGTAATGGCATATTTCCATACATGATGGAAAGCTGACGGGTGTTTTGAAAGTTTTATTAAGTTAGTAACAAGAAATGATTGAAAAATACACATGGTTCTAAGCATTTCTCTATTTAATGAAGTGAAATAACTTTGAGGATCTTTATGAAAAAATGCAGATTCATTATCAATTAACCATATTTTGCCATTCGATGACATAAGGGTTTTATGTGCATTTCTATTAAGAAATCGGTTTCCATCGCCAATTCTGTATTTCTTCAACCTTTAAATGAAGAATAAAACGAATATACTTATAATCAGGTTATGCAATTTCTTTGACAAATATTTCTCTTCAAAGTAAAGAATTTAGTCTAAGAAAGTATAATTAAAAAACAGACATACATTATATATGTTTATTTTAGACAAGATATGAAAGTTGTAATAACAGCTTATCACTTACATAGTTTGCTTTTAAGAAATATTATTTTTTTTATCAATCGGTCATACCTTTTCTCCGAAAAATGTTTGGATATTGTATATGATGCATGATTTTGTGCGTGATATAGGTCAATAAAATGATAAAACTTATTAAACAATATATATATATATATTACGAGTTTCTTTACCACATTATTATATCTTTAGGTCTTACATGAATATACAATACATATGGTAATAAAGTGTCGCGACATATTCTAAAATTAAGATTAAGGGAAAAACTTCGGAGCTATCGAGTACTGTTTTTATTTATTTATTTTTTTATATTTATATGTATATGTTTTTTTTATGTTAACTATAAAGAGGTTTACTTATGTGACCAACCAGATTTACTGAACGACATTTTTGTTGTCAGTGCATCTTTCTTTTTTTGTACTTTTAGTTATTTCGAATCTAGTGGTTTTTTTTAATCAGGTGGTTCAAGAATTCCCTATTCAAATATTTTCTAATCACCCGTATGTAGCCTGCATTTTAAATTTGCCGCTGACAGCTTATCTGCGATATGCAATCGTCATAACCTCTGATCTTCTTTCAAAATACCATTTTATTTAGTTTTCCTATTGTTTTCTCGTTTAGAGCACATGCTTTTTATTTGGGACCATATGCCGCTTTCGCTGAATGACACATTGAAAGTTTATTGATAACAGCCATATGAACACATCTTCGAATGTTTCAAATTTGTTGAATTCTGCTAAAGCCGATGCTTTGGGTGTGGGGGACTTTTTTGTTTGCTTTTTTATGAAATGAGCTGTAATTATGGTTTGAATTATCCATGAAATATGGTCGCCATGGTTCGGATTCATGAACTTTATATAAATGATTATCAGTAAACATAAATGACAACAATTCATTATAAAGAGATAGTTAATACATTATTCATTATGGTTAACATCAGAAAGTACCTGTCACAATGCTCGATTAAGTGTCAAAAATGATCATTGTACCCCACTGAATAAGCTCCGATATGGAAGTTTTGCTTCTAAGCGTATTTGTATTATAAACTACATCACTGTTCACTGGCTTCCCTGATGTAACAGCATCTTTTATGACCGAAGGCATGAATACCTTGTGACTGTAAATAATGTTAGCATAGAGATGAAATTACCCTATGCTTATAAAGATAATAATGTTTTCCTGTTCTTTCAATGAAAACGGAATTCGTAATAATTTATTTAGTATGTAAATAAGAGTTTTACTTTACGCATCTGTTTTCTGAAGACAACCAGACTCGTTTCCTTCCCTTACAAAATGCAGAGTTGTAAGCAAATCATTTACAATTTTCCAATAAAGCAAGAAAGAGGACGGACAGCTTATCAATTCAGTAACAATGCCTTTCCAAATTGCCTTTCATGAGGTTCTTCATTTAAAACATCTGCTTTAAAACAAGTCTGTCGTGTCAAGAAGTAGTGTCATTGAAACTTTAAAGCATGTTGAATATAGATATATTATCAAGCATGGTCCAGTAATATTGAGTTATTTTAAATAATGACATTTTCTGTTTTATCGTTTAATTGCTTCGGAATAAATATGACATTTTTAGTCGTAATAAAAATACATAGTTTCAAGAATGTCACAGCAAATTGGGCAACAGAAATTTTAGGTTAAATGTTACATATTTTTGTTAACTTTAATTCCTAGCACGAACTTTCGAGTTAAAACATTACAGCAATATTGTATCACTGTAAAGCTATTTTTTCATGTGATTTTATAAAAACATAAATCAAATTAGTCTATTTTACCTTGTTTCATGGAGCCACCTCATAATTGCAACTAAGTCATGTTCTCGCCAGCCTAGTTTGATAAAATCAGTTCCTTTCCACAATGGTGAAGATATATTTGAAATCACTACCTCTGGAACCATGTCCATACCAAGTAAGCGTGATAAGTAGAAAGCAAAGGATTCAGCTATTAAAAGAAGATAAATACCTCCAGTTAAGTTTATGAACTTAATTAAATCACGAGTAAACACTAAGATAAAAAAAATCAACCGAATGTAGTCTTCAAATTATCTTTAAATCACAATTGGGTTTTAACACCTTTGATTTCGTATAACATATGTTTACAGTTTATTCACATTATTGTGCTTACATTTATTATTTTTGTGTACAATTCTTGTCTGTCGATTGCAGTGTAGATTGCACTTAATAAAAAAATGTAATTATCATTTTAAAGTTTTATGCAAAAGAAAGGAAAAAGTAACGTCGACTTTGATAGAAATAAAGATAAAAACATTGATTTTTCCTCATTTCTAGAATTTTTGTTTGATTACATGTTCTTGTTGCTATTGTAACAATGTCCAATGTTGGCTAAATACACTTTAAGATATAGTTTGTTGCTAATATTTACTGAATAAAATAATACAGTTTAAAGTTAAACTGACTATGATAATTATGTTATGTGACGAATAATTAAGCTCGTGACAAAAATTTTCAAAATATTAAGAATATACCAAATGCGGCTTGGGTTCGAACTTGCGATCATCCAAGGAATCGATTTGCTGACGCATTTGTCAGATACTATACTTCTAGTTATAAAAGTAGGTGTGCAGCAGTTGTAACATATTTATAATGACGAAATGGCTTTTTATCAGTTTGTCATTTCGGTTATTTATCAGTTAACGGTCTCATGCATGTTTTAAACGCTTATTCGTGTTTTGAAAATATGAACCACACCTACATAAAATTGGTTAAGAAACAAACAGAAACTATTCACATTAAACGCATAAAAGGCTAAAAGTGTGACCTTTTTGTACATGACAGATTCTGAAACATATTAAATGCAGGAAGGAATAATTTCAATGTAAACTGTGTAAAAACCATACGATGTTGACCATACATGTGTATAAAACAACATACATATACTTTATATTTTGTTTTATTTTAAACCAATGCGATGTCTTTACATAAGCTTTTTGCTCATTTAGTAACATAAAACAATTTTGATAGTAGCAGTGACATTGACCTTGATCTTATGGGGGGTCAAAAGCAATCCAAGATGAGATTTTCAAATAGGAGTGCTATAAAATATGCTTAAATCAAATGCGTATATCATTTATAAGTCTAGTTATGGACAGGAAACAAACCTTCTTTTTAAGTAACAGTGACTTTGACCTTGGCCCTTATGGCAATACAGAAATCCCAAATGGAATCTTATTTAGCGGCACCATCTTGTTTGACGCCTAAATCTTTCACCAATCTATAAATCAGGATTTTTAAAATTGAAATCCTTGTTGATAGCAAACCACCTATATGAGTGATTTTCATTCATTGATATGAAATATGAATATTTAACATTTCAAGCCTTTTAATTACACTCTTATCGGCTGTGAATTATTTCAAAATTATGTCCATGTTCTATGTTTTAATTGTGATCTTGTCCCTTCATCGACTCTCATACAGTTAAAAATCACTTATTGAATCAGCATATTTAAGGGGTGGAAAAGTTGTTGCATTCACGAAAATACTCAGTCAATCTTATTATGCAACTATGTATAGATTAATATTTGTTGTCACAGATCTCGAGTTACCTTATTTTTTTCAAACTTATTTTGGAATATAACCATTAAATTTCTCTCGCACTGTTTATGTCTTACACACATTGTAGACCCATCATTAAGTTTGACAATAGCATTGCCTCCATTTCCACATGCTGACCTATTTGCATTTATGATTTTCACTACGCGTTGATGTGATATTTCTTTCTACAAGTTTTATGCTGTCAACTTGTTGCATCCCTTTAAAATTATAAACAAATTTAAAAAAAACATTGTGTATCGAACAATGGCATTATCTTTTTTTCATAAGTGGCCGTTTACAAAAAAACAATATATCGACAACACTGAGTAACATATTATCCCTACAACTCTACAAAATATGCGTTTAAAATATTTGTATTTTAGACTAAAATTCCAATGCTATTGCCGTGACGCCTTTTCACATATATCTCAAAAGATAGGAGTAAAAAAAAAAACGAAAAAACCTGAATGGCATCCAGCATTGTATAACTAAAAATCTTCCATGATTTAAAAGGATGCACTTTAAAGGACAATCCATGAACAGGTTTTATCAAACCGAGCATGCAACATTTTCGATGTTGACACTTTGGGTGTTGTAAGGTCGTCCATGCCACAATCATTGATTTTCCTGCCCTGTGCAGGTCGTGAAACGTCGCCCCATACATCAAAGATGCTATATTATTATCCTTGAAGATCGTTTAACACGACATTATTGTTGTGTATACATGTTAATTGGTATTTTAAGTTTCTTAGATTTGACCTTTTTTCAACTAGGATGGTTCCAGTTTCACTACTTTATGCAGGTTTCGTTACCTCAGCTCCGCTTTCACATTTTTTGGTGTTTCCCTTGTGTTGTCGCTTAATACACGTTTGACTGTAATTTGTTTTCGTCCATTGACTTTTTTTTTAAATTCAAGACATTTTATTCGGGGACTTTGCGCCGTTTTTCATGAATGTTTCTCGAATGCAAATTGGGCCAAAAACATGATTAAATGTTGAATTCTGCGAAATCCGGTGCTTCGGGGTTACTAGCTTTTTCCTATACCGTCTAACGGAAATGCAAACCGTTTCTCGATGTTTGTTACATGTAATGTATTTGGAGTGATGTTTCATATAATTACATTTATAGATATGAGTTAAATCAAACGTTGTGTTTTACTTATCATTGATTATTACTTTAGAGTTTTAAAGAACTGGATATCCAACAATTATTTAAGAAATATTAAAAAAAAATGTTTCCACCTTCTTATTTGATTTAGTTTTTCATATTTAATACTTGTCAAAAAATCTGAATAAAAGAATGAAAAGTATATAAAAAATCTTACCTTTTGGAACAAATGTCTCTGCATAATCATTCCAGAAGATACCATCCTTCAGTAAAATGAAATTGTTGGATCTTGTGTTTTGGAATTTCATATTCAAAGATGCTTTTTTAAAATTATCATTTTGTTGAAAAGAAACACATAATAAACAAATAAAAACCATGCAAAGTAAACAACATAGTTTAAAGCTAAATATCATGTTATTGTTCATAATGAAATTAAATAAACCGTGAAATACGATAAACATGTGTGGTTTGATCAATGTCATAAATCATAAATACATTGTAACAGCGCCATTGTTTCTTATAGGATTCTTGACATCATTTAAGTTGTTCAAATCATATACATTAACTATAACAAAGATGTCAAAAGATTGTTTTAAGATGTGTGTATTGCATGTATGTGAGCAGTAGGCGACGGTAGACACTACTGACGATAGATCCTTATAATAATAGAAACAAGTTAAGTCATGTTGCCTCAAGTGAGGAGGACCTAAGTTGTCAATATCAATTATTATCTTGAACATTGTTAGTTTGCCATAACAACTATTTCTATTTATTCGTTGCTATTCTGTTGGAGATACCTCAATCCTTTAACAGGTTTTGGAATAAACTGTCTGTGTTTTTGTGAACAGTCATCACATGGTTTAAATACAAAACTAAAAGGGGTGAAGTGTGGCGTAAATATGCTGAGTTGTAGTCCTATTAATGGCGTTTATTTTTACTTACCCTGTACAATTTAATCTTTAACTATGTCTTAAAGACATATAAGAAAATTCTCTATGGGTAATTGACAATTGTTCTTTATAAAACTCTTTCAAATTTGAATCAAATCTTATTAATATGCTTTTAAAAAAACTTATGTGATTTTGTTTTTTAAATTTGAGAAGGAAAATGAGTATAAAAATATGATAAAGCACTCAATATACAAAATGAACAGGCTATAAATATCGCTCAAATAGCTAAACTCGGTTTCTAAATTTCATTTTTACCATATTCATGTTTGCACGGTAGCTTGCACTTTTCCAGTATCGTGTCTTTAAGGCTCATTCAAATCGAGGCTGGAATATTTTCCACTTTGCCCTCTTTGGTTTCTTTAGGGACTACGTTATCCTCTATTTTATCAGATGTCACAGTAATTCGAAATGGAAACGTCTATTTCAACTTTGTTGATTTGTGAACCTTTTATTTATTAGATTTTAGTGATGATTCTCTTTAGTGGATTTTTTTCAGAAATTTTTTGTTATACAACTCGACATTATTGTTCTAAAACTGCTGTTGTTTGTCTAAACATTTGTAGTTTTATAGATCAATTTTTGGTCAAGAGGCTATAATGTGCCATTTGGGCACACAATGTAGTTGGTATAATACAGTAGAATGTTTCACCGATACATTAAAACTTCAGAATATTTTTCATCACCCAAAACCATGTGACGATGTCTTTTTTTTTATATTTCCCCGAAAAGCACATATAGTTGGTTTAAACTATAACACTCTCAGCAACTGTTCATCAATGGGCAAATAAATCTTGGAGGAGGAGTCTCTTTAAAGTCTAATGTTTCATTATTTAGTGATGCTTAAATCATGAAACGTCTCAAAACTAGCTGCTTGAGTCAGTTATATTTTAGTTTTATTTAAAAGTCTTTTGTCGGATAATCAAACATGCTAACAACATCCTTATTAATATATATGTGAATACATAAACATAATGGGAATAAATTTTTAAATATAATCTTATGTTCATCAGGTTGTTTTCGTTTACTTTATACATTTGGTAAGAGCAATATTGCATCATATACATAATTTATTTGTCTCTTCTATTACAGTTTCAGTTTGTCTTAAATGCCATGGTATCTCCACAGCAACGATGCGTTTCCGTAATCGTAATCTACTTTTAGAGTTACGAAAATATGGATAAAATGTGATCCCTCGAAAGCCAAAGTGTATGATCATTTATCTCAAGTAAATAAAAGAAATAATTAAATAGACATAAATAATAGACAAAATGTTGTCACATGGTAAAACGTTCTACTCTTAAGCGTTGCATTCCAATACTTATATATGTATACATGCATTTTTCTCTTTGTTGAAAACAAATTACAAAACTTGAATTTGTTTAATCACTTATAAAACTTAAGATGCGCAAAATATATTAATGTTACAGTAAACAATGTTTCATGGGTAACAGGTCTCTGTCATTTGCACACTGGACAGCCTCTTGACGTGTCTCATGGTATGAACGAAGAAAAGATAATTTGATTGGTTGTAACATTATGTGACTTTTTAATTTTAATAGTATGTCGCCATTTTGAAAAGACTCTTTTACGTGTAAAGTTTGGATGACAGTATACGGGTTTTTTATATTGATTTTAATCATGAAAAATATATGAACAATTTGAAATTATACGCACATAAAAATATATTTCTTTCTTATTAATATGTAACGTTTTGATAACGGTTTTTGATTTTTCATGAAAATTACATATGTTTATCTATTGTTGTAAGTATTTTATGGATTGATGGTAGGAAAAGGGTTTACATAGAGACCATTTGACGATATATATTTTTTTAAGTTATGACAGAAGAGATCTTTGAATGTTATATAGCAAATTTAAGAAACACAAACGAATTTTCTGTTTTTAAGCATGGTAAATAGTTTCAATGAGCATGG